GCCAATTTTTGTAGCGCGTGGACGTCGCAGCGCGCAAATCAAACGAGTCACAAACCGAATCGAGCAAAACTCGAATCGAAACGGGAATCCGAAACTCCGACGCGAAGCAAAAAACAAAATCAAATCAAATCAAAAACGCGCCAAATTTGTAACGCATTTTTTTTTTTCTGTTTGTTGTGCTGTGGCCAAGAAAAAAACAAAAATCAAAAAAAAAAAAAAACAGCTTGCCCAAAAGCAAGAGAAGCATAATAGTTCTTATTATTATCATAGAGCACTTGGGATTTATCGCATCGCAGCGCCGGACTAAGTCAAAATGTCAGCGTAAGTTTGGCCAAAAGTTCGAGCTAACTGCTTAAAAAAAAAAATGCCAGTTGTGTGTTTCTGGCCTTTTGTCTTGATCAGCATGAAAAGCAGAAATATATATTCAATAAACTTGGCCCGCAGCTAACAGTTCCGTTTGTCGCTGTGGCCTTTTGTCTTCGTATGTAAATGTCTGCTTGCCTGTTTACGATTACGATTTGGACTTTTTTTTTTTTAATAATTAATTGAAGCTGTCGAGCTAACGGCGGCTCCGGCTCCGGCTCCAGCTCTAGCTGCGGCTCTGGCTGCGGCTGGTTGCCCTTTTCCCTAGGGAAAAGCCAGCCAAAAGCACGCGATGGCCCTGGCCAACACACAAAATTTGCATTGCAAAGCCATCAAAAGCGGGCTGTTGCAGTTGCAACTAGCTGTTGGCCTGGCTGCCTGGCTGCCCACTTGACATGCAGGCGACGCGCCAAAAACAAAAGACTCAAGCAACAAACTCTCGACTGGCTTTTGGGCATATGTCGCAAGTCCAACATGCTGTTATTATTATTGTGGGCAGCCTAAGCGCCTGCAGTTGCATATTAATAGCCATGCCACGCCCCGCGCCTCGCTACCTTCCACTGCTGCTAAGCACAACAAGTGCCAACCAAAATATTTATGCTTAATTCTTGAAATGCTGGCGGCATGTTTGGCATATGTAAATGGCTCCACTTGGCCGCTGCCCACGCCGCAGCTCCAATTGGCAGCCGTCTCACGTGCCGCCAACAAGTTCTTTGCAATGCTTATTAAGCGCTTTAGGCTGCCAGGCCCCAGCCCCCCCCTGCCCCCGTTCACCTTTTGCTGTTTGACAGCCTGACAATCGATACAAAATCTGAAGCCTCTATTGTTGAGAGAGAGAGAGAGGGGCGGGGGCGGTTGTGGTGTGACTGGCTAATGGCCAGCTGCAGTTGTTGTTGTTGTTCTTTTCATTTTGTCGAGTTTGTCTCACACATAACTATCTACCTGCTCTACCTGCCTTTGCCTTAGCCTTAGCCTAATGTGTGCCAGCTGCAGCTAGACAACAACTGAGCTCTAGATACAATTGCCAATCTCAGCTGCTGCTGCTGCTGCTTTTTTTGGCTGCTGTTGCAATTGCGGAAGCAGCAGCAGAACAAGAACAAGAACAATGGCAGCTTGTGGGCCAGGCTAAAAGCCCCCGCATAATGCCATAAATCAGCAGCAGCAGCAGCAGCAACAATCATTTTAATAAATGGGAATATATAAGAAGAAAAAACAAAATAGAATAAAATGAAATTAAATATGAATAAAAGTCAACGCAGGCAGCTGCCAAGTTGTTAACTCGTTTTTGCATGCAGCTCAAAGCGAAGCTAGCTAAAAGCAGTTGTCTCTCTCTCTGAGTGTGTGTGTGCGTGTGTGTGTGTGTGTGTGTGTGTCAGTTTCAAGGACTGCCAGTAAATGTTGGCGCTGCGCAAAAGTCAATTCCACTCAGTTTGCCATTTGACAGAATGGTTTCAAGTGCTTGCCAGCCATAATTACAACAACAACAACAACAACAACAACAACAACAACAACAAGTCCCAAATCCCGAGCTGCTGCTGCTGCTGCTGCTGCTGTGTCTTAGCCATGACCAACAAAATCGCGGCTCGCAGCGCGAATGTTGGCCAATTGTGCAAACTAATTACAACAAAAGGCGAATCATTTTGGCCAATCTTGTGGGCGACAGGCTGCAGTTGGGGGCGTGGCCAGCCCGTACAGCTAATTGAAAACTAAAAAGCGTAACGCACATCGCCTAACTGAACTAATTAACATGCAACTGTTGCTGCTGCTGACCCAACCAAGCAACAATTTACAATAAGTCACAGCCAAGTGCCTTCCACATGACACAAGCTGCACACACACACACACACACGAGCTGGAAAAGTAATTAACTTCCCAAAAAAAAAAAAAAAACTACACAACAGCAACAACTGTTTCAATGTCCACTTCCGTTTGACGGGCTTTTCCGTCAATTAAACAGTTTTTCCAGTAAAAAGCGACAAAAAAAAATAAAAAACACACACAGCGACACACACACGCACTAAGTGCAGGCAACATGTGCTAAGTACAGCACTTGGCAATTAGCTGAAAAATCCACACAGATATATATATATATATATAAATACGTTTATTGAGATTTAGCCATGTTTAAGTATGCTAATTAGATACTCTGAGAAGCAGACACTCCATCATTTATTCAATGCGCATACGCAGCCGCATTCAATTCTCAGCCAAGCGGCGGCACAGTGGCGGCCAAAACAGTTGGCACACCTTTCACACTGGCAGCAGCAGCAGCAGCAGCAGCTGACGCTGTAGCTGAGCGCCAAAAGTTGACTCAGTTGTTGCCAGTTGACAATTGTCAAGTGTGCTATATAATTACAACAACAACAACAACAATCGAGTAATAACATAACATATACATATATATATAGGGATATGTACATTTGAGCATTCGTATACGTATTCGTGTTCGTATTTGTATAGACACGCGTATATTTGGGCTGTTCGATTGCTTTTGTTGACTGACACAACAGCTTGAAAGAAAAACGAGCAAGAGAAAAAGGTTAACTACGGCACTCCGAATATTTAATACGCTCACTAAGCAGCGCATGGGAAAATAGTTGAGCATGATTTGAGATATCTTGTTAAGCAACGAATATATAGTTGTTCATACCAGAAACTACTTTTCGATCGTTCCTAGTGCAGCTAACTGATATAGTGCTACGATTCAGTCGATGCCGAGACATGTGATGAAAGATTTAAGACTGAGAGACTAATTCGCAGACGGAGAGACAGACAGACTTGGCTATATCGACTGCTGCTCAAGAATATATATGTATATATTTTATGGGCTCTTCTTCTGTGCGTTACACATTGAGAGACAAAATTATAATACCCTCTGCAAGGGCAACAAACAAATTATAAGCTAAAGAACAAGAGCAACAACGACAACAACGACAACAACAATAGTTGTAATTGGCACTGTTAAAAGCAAAAGTGAAAAAAAGGCACTTTAATACCATATGCCGCATATGGCGCGTCATTTGGACGCCCCTCTCGAGAGACGCCCCCCGCTTCCCTGGCACGGCCTGTGTCAGCTTTCAGGGCGACGTCAGCAAATGCTGACCAGCAACAGCTCCAGAGGCCAGCCCCAAAACAGGCCATGCGCTGTGTAACATTAGAACTGGCTCCCCATATATATATATATATGTATATATATAGGAAGCATTCGACTAGCGTCTGCCGCGTCGGCAGTTTTTGGCTGCGCTCATTGTGCCAAATAGAGTCAAGTTTGGCAATAGAATTACATATGAGCTGCCCTGCAGTTGAAGTTTGCGCTAAGATACAGTTTGAGAGTCACTCGAAAGTCAATTACAGTCTAAGAGTCTTCCCCTTTATACTTATAAATATGCAGTTTCAAATAGTTTTGGAGTTCCACTTGGCAAACAGATTACGTATAATCTGCGCTGCAGCTGGACCTCGCTCTCAGGCACAGTTTGAGAGCCACTCGAAAGTCAATTACAGTCTTAGAGTCTTCAAGCGAGGACGCGACTGTGATGTGCTCCCTTTGCCGTTGTCAACTTACAGTTTGATTTTTGGCACACACACACACACACAACACACACACACACACAACACACACACACAACGCACACACTCAGAGGCTAACCTCGTGGAGCTTGGATCTTGGGGATAGCTGAGCTGGACCGGTTTTTTGGGCAGAAAACTTTCGGCTCGCGTTGCCAAAAAAAAAAAAAATGAGGTCGTCTTGTCAAAAGCAAAAGCGAAAGTTCAACGCGTTGGTTCTGGTTTCTTTCTCTCGCCCTACCCTGTTCCATTCCCCCCTACTCTCCTCTCCGCTGCTCTTCTCGCCGCATCCGTCGCCAGTCTCTGACCATCCTCTCACCTGTCGCCTGTCGCCTGGCCTAGGGCGTGCCGAAAAAAAAAAAACTAGCTGCGTGCTGGTCAACCTGTGCAGCTGTTATCGCTCATCAGGCGATAACGACAACGAGTGCCCGGCTTTGTCCGGCTCTTTGGCTGTGTGGCTCGCGTGACCAGGCGAAGTCCAAGTTCAAATGGGTTTCAATTGGCAGCTCGAGCTGGCATTTGCGGTTCTTCATGCACTTTGCAAATATGCGACTTCCTTTCACGAGCCAATTGTTTGGGGGCTGACGCTTCACTTTTGCGCCTTACTCTAAATACCCTAGACGTATATCTAGTGGGGTTGACTCATGCCACAGACACAGCATATTCTACCACAACAGCATAGCTTGTTATTGAAAGGCATACAAATTCTGCGAAAGCTGAGCAATGTGAATATAAATATGAATATGAATATGAGTATGAATATGAATATAAATGTATATAAACTTTTACTCAAGAGTCTTGCGCTTTGACTTAGGAATTTCGCTGCGAGTTCCATAAAGCAAACAGCCGGAATGTTGTTTATAGGGTATTTGCCAGTCGAGCACGCACTTTTTTAGCTGCTTAACTTTTTGCACTTATTTTTTTTTTTTGCATTTTGTCGAGTCTTTCGTACATGCACTTCCGTTTGACTACGTCAACGAGTTTTGCATGTCGCTTCCTCACCCTGGACCCTGCGCCTAGCTTGGCTCCGTTTAGCCAGCCGCCGCATCGTTATCGCACTTAATCGATGTCGCCATCAGCGTCAACTTCATTGTCATCATTAGCTGTATCATTATTATCGTCGTCGTGGTTGTTAGCGTTGCCCTGCGGAACGGGCGAGCGGACAGCGAAGCAAGTGCATTTTCGAGACGGCGTCAACTGAATTTGAGTTCTTCTTCTTTCAAGCAGTGCCGCGCCAGGCAGAAGCAAGAGCAAGAGCAAGCATTAATTAGATCGATAACAGCTGAGCGATCCAATCAAGCATGATCAAGTTCCGCTACAAGCGAAAGGAGCCCAGCAACCTGGTTGCCAGCAGCAGCTCCCCGTCGTCGACGACCAGCAGCAGCAGCACAGCCACCATCACAGTTCCGGCCGCGGTTCCAGCACCAGCTCCGACTACGATAACTGCGGTATCTCCGCTGCAACAGCTGATTAGCAACAATGGCACCTTGCCGCGAAGCAGTCCCAGGAAGCTGCTGCTGGAGGCGGGCGATTGCCACAATCGATCGGCCACCCTGACGCGCCAGAGCAAGCCGAGCAAGCCGGCCAAACAGCAGAACGTCTGCGCCCTGGCCAAGGTGTCCAGCAGCGTGGAGCTGGCGGTGCTCGGCTACAGCAGCAGCGGCAACGGCTCGACTGCCGCCGAGCGGGATCGCTGCATCAATGCGGTCATAGTAAGTCGCCATACGGCCCCATCCATTTGCAATGCCAAGCCCCATATACTACTTAGCTATACTTAACATATTTATATATATACTGGTTCGCTAATCTGTGAATTTCCATGTGCCAGGAATTGTTCCAGCAGCTGCAGACCAGCTCGGAGCCAGCTCTGTGCCCGGAGCCACTGCGTCGCGCCTTGGCCAGCGGCCCGCTGGCCGGCCGTCGCTTCCCACTGGGCTGCCTGGGCGATGCCGCCGAGTGCTTTGAGCTGCTGCTCCATCGCGTCCACTCGCACATCTCGCCCGACGACGGCGACTCGTGCGAGTCACCGGCCTGCATTGCCCATCGCCGCTTCGCGATGCGCGTCATCGAGCAGAGCGTCTGCAAGTGCGGCGCCAACTCCGAGCAGCTGCCCTTCACACAGGTGAGTCCCAACACATCTAGTTCAAGTACGATATTGAAATCTTAAGAGCTGGGGATTAAAAGCAAATATATACGGATCAAGTATCCTTCCATATAGCTACTCTTTCTTGTTAAAGGTAGAACCTTAGGCCTTGTTCCCAGTGGATCGCACTGCCAGACTTTGAAGTGGATCACGAATGAAAAGAAGTTCTTGTTAGGAATTAACGAGATTAATATTCTTTAACTTACAACTGATATGCGTGGCAACGGGCACTTTGTCTAAGGTAGCTTAGTTTAGTATTTAGTAGTTTTTCTTTAACTAACTCAATTGCCAGCAGCTTTTCTGGCTGTGCATGAATGGGGCTGTTGGCGCGTGGGCTTGGAACACCTGCGAGTCGCACGAAGCAGGCGCCCGAGCAGGGACCAGAACAGTTAGAGAACAGCTCGGCGGATCGGGTTGCCAAACGGGTTTCGTGAACCTGAACGTGAACATGCACAGTCGTTCAACCAGTTGCAACACCCACCCAACGAGCGCGGCTAGAGAGTTGAGGGAGGGAGGCTGTTGGATCATAGATTGCATTTATATTAATCTTGTGCTGTGTTTTGTTCTCCCTCTGCTCCCACAGATGGTGCACTATGTGTCAGCCTCGGCGCTGACCTCACAGAAGAGCCTCGCACTGCAGAACCATCAGCAGCTGAGCTTCGGCCAGCTGCTGCGCGCCGCGGGCAACATGGGCGACATACGCGACTGTCCGGTAAGTATATGCAGTGATCCTTTTGAGCAAAACAGCAGCTAATCTCGATTCTCGAATTGCATATGCAGAACACTTGCGGCGCCAAGATTGGCATTTGCCGGGCGCTGCTCAATCGGCCGGATGTCGTCTCCATTGGCATTGTGTGGGACTCGGAGCGACCCGCCGCCGACCAAGTGCACGCGGTGCTCAAAGCTGTGGGCACCAGCCTCCGGCTGGCCGATGTCTTTCATCAGGTCAGCGAACAGCGCTGGGCCCAGCAGGCGCAGCACGAGCTGGTCGGCATTGTCTCCTACTACGGCAAGCACTACACCACCTTCTTCTTTCACACCAAGCTGAAGGTGTGGGTCTACTTCGATGACGCCAACGTCAAGGAGGTCGGCCCCAGCTGGGAGGGTGTCGTCGACAAGTGCAGTCGCGGCCGCTACCAGCCTCTGCTTCTGCTCTACGCCGTGCCCCAGCCGCCCAGCTCAGCTGCCGCCGGCGTCGCCGCCAACAATTGCGGCCTGGAGCTGACGTCGGTGCGACGCGCTGTTACGCCCAGCCCGGAGAAGCCCAGCCTGGGCAGCACGAGGCGCGCCATTACGCCGACGCCGACGCCACTGGCCACGCCCACAGCGCTGCGTGCGCCCCTCAATGACTACCAGAACCTGAGCGTCATCCAGAAGAACATCTTTCCGGCCGGGCCGGCTGCCACCACGACGGTGGGCAGCGACGAGACGGATGCTTACATCAGCCGGAAGACCGTGGAGCATGTGTTGAGCGCACAGTATCAGAATCTGAGCGTCATCCAGGACAAGATCGTTGCCGTTGGCGACAAGGAGGGCGGCTTCCTTAACCGCAAGCCCATCGAGGCGATGTTGAGCGCCCAGCTGGCGCGCCGCCAGCATCTGCAGCTGCAGCGCAGCCATAGCGCCGAGTCGAGCTCGGGCCATGCGAGCGGCGCCTCCAATGGCAGCTCGCCGCCCAGCGACGGCCTGACCATACCGGAGCATCTCAATCAGCCGAGGCGACGCGACTCTGGCAACTGGTCCGGGGATCGCAACAGCGCCAGCTCCGCCAGCTCCACAACCCTGGACAATCCCTATCTGTACATGGTCGCCAAGCGGGGCGTCTCCGCCGTGCCCCAGAGTCCCACGCGTCATGCTCACGCTCACGTCCACGGACATCCACTTGGACACGGACACGGACATGCACTGGGCCATGCACATGGACTGCCCTACGACGCCGGCTACGACTCCTTCTCGCTCAGCTCGACGGATTCGTATCCGCCCAAACATGCGCTCAATCCCCAGCTGGCCAAAATACCAGAGGCAGCTGCGGGTGCGGCTGCGGGCGTGACAACCAACGGAGCTGTCCATGCACACGGACAGGGACACGGAAACGGACACGGTCTGGCGCTGACCGGCGACTGCGAGAAGCTGTGCCATGAGGCCGACCAGCTGCTGGAGAAATCGCGTCTGGTCGAGGAGTCACACGATCTGGAAACGGCGCTCGTCCTATGCAATGCGGCTGCGGGCAGAGCCCGTGCGGCCATGGACGCACCGTACAGCAATCCGCACACGATGACGTTCGCCCGGATGAAGCACAACACGTGCGTGATGCGAGCCCGAAGCCTGCATCGGCGCATACTGGTCGAGAAGGGCGCCGAGAGCGAGGCGATGCCCGAGCTGAAGCATATGCGCGAGGGCAGCAACAGCTCCGTGAAGCATATGCGCCAGAACAGCAAGGATCGAACGCTGGACAAGCTGGAGAAACTGGAGCCGAGCGCCGCGGCAGCCAAGAGCATCGAGATCTATGCGACGCTGCCCAAGCGCAAGAGTCCATTAAAGCCGCTCGCCACGGATGACAATGCCATCGAGTATGAGCACCAGCTGGCCACCAGCCAGGCAAAGCCGGAGCGCGAGAGCCGCTCGCTGTTCGGCCGTCGCGACAAGGACAAAGACAAGGATAAGGAGAAGGATAAGGATAAGGAGAAGGAGAAGCGTAGCCGCAGCGAGGATCGCAACAAGCTGACGCGCGAGTTCTCGCTGACGGAGACGCTGCTGGTGAATGCCAAGGACACGCTCAAGAAGCACAAGGAGGACAAGGACGAGAAGAAGGAGAAGGACAAAAGTGGCAAGAAACAGCACAAAATACGACGCAAACTTCTCATGGGCGGCCTGATACGCCGCAAAAATCGCTCCATGCCCGATCTCACCGAGGCCGTCGACGATGCTGCCGGCGCCGCCGCCCCCAATGCCAGCCCACATGCCACGCCCACGGCGCCATTGACCAGCTCCGTGGACGACAGCGCCGTCGGCCTGAGCCTGCACGGCCATGCCAAGCACGGCCACGCCTACAATGCCGCCTTGGCCATGAGCAGCGGCTACATCTCGGAGGGGCATTTCGACTACTCGAAGAACGGCGGCGCCCAGAATCCGCAATCGATGTCGGCACAGTCGAGCGCCAATCCGAATCTGGAGCGCAGCAAGCTGATGCGCAAGAGCTTTCACGGCAGCGGCCGGCAGCTGACCATGGTGCCCAAGGTGGCGCCGCCGCCGCCCATGCGCACCAGCTCCTCCCTGACCCCCCAGCAGCAGCAGCAGCAGCAGCAACAGTTCCATCACGAGGCCAATCTGTCGAACATCTCGGCCATGAGCTCGAATACATCGATTAGCGAGGATTCATGCCAGACGATCATCACGACCTGCGCCCAGGTGCACTCCGAGCAGAGTCCGCTCAAGGATCTCCAACTGCAGATGACGCCCTACGACGAGCTCGACGGCCTGGCCCTGCCCATGACCATGCCGCCGCCTCCACCGCCACCGCCATTAGAGCTGCCGCCGTATCCGAGTCCGCCGCAATCGGTGTGCCATTCGCGGCAGGCCAGCGAGGATTTCCCACCACCGCCGCCGCCCGAGATCGATCTGGAGCCGCTCAACCAGCAGCTGAACCATCTGCATGCCTTGGAGGCGGCCAGCAAGCAGCAGCGCCAGCAGCTGGACTCGCTGGAGGGCACCACCAGCATTCTGGCACAGCTGCAGCAGCGCCAGCATCTGCTCAAGCTGCGCAAGGAGCAGGCCACGCCCATGCCCGATCTCAGAGCAATGCAACGCAAGCAGGAGGCGTCCTCGCCCAGCAGCGTCCGAGATCTGGCCCATCGCTTCGAGCAGACCAGCTCCGGCAGCACAATGCGCTCCTATGCCTCCCAAGAACTACTGAGTCCCGGATCCAGCTCCGGCGCCCAGCTGCGCACACAGATGAATGGCCTGCCCAACGGCAAGCCGGAAACGGATGAGGTGGACTGTGCGCCCGTCCGCCAGCAGCTGCTGCCGAAGCCCAAGTACGAGATGTCGCAGTCACAGATCGCCGAGGAGATACGCGAGGTGGAACTCCTCAACACAATGGTGCAGCAGACGCTCAACCAGACCAATTTGGCGCCACAGAAGCGCGTGAAAAAGAAGAGCGTCTCGTTCTGCGACCAGGTCATTCTGGTGGCCACCGCCGGCAACGAGGAGGACGACGATTTCATACCCAATCCAATACTGGAGCGCGTGCTGCGCACTGCCCAGCATCCCAACGAGAAGGTCACCGCGCAGCTCATCCAGCAGCAGCAGCAGAATATGCTGCGATTGCAGACGGAACCGCAGCCGCGACACCAGCAACAGTTGCCGCCGCAGCAGCAACAGTTGCAACAACAACAGTCGTCGCCCATGCTGGGCAGGCCGGATATGCAGCGTTATGTGCAGCGACAGCAGCAACTGCTGCAGCAACAGCAACAGCAGCAACAGGAGCTGTTTCGCCTGCAGCAGCAGCAACAGTTGCAGCAGCAGCAGCAATTGCAGCAGCAACAGTTGCAGCAGCGCACCAGCATGAGCGGCCTTTCGAGCCAGCAACAGCAGCTGGATGCACAGTACACGAGCATGCCCAGGCCCCCACTGCATCAGCTGCCCCAAAGCTATTCCGTGCAGAAGCAGCAGCAACAGTTGCAGCAGCAGCAGCAACAGTTGCAGCAGCAGCAGCAACAGTTGCAGCAGCAGCAGATAAGCCTCGCCTACTTCAGCAATGGCAACGTGGCCGAGCAGCCGCTGCCCTCGCCCTATCAGCGCGTGCCCCTGCCGCATGGTTATCAGCAGCAGCAGCAGCAGCCCACAGCCGGCTTCTATGCGCCCCCGCAGCAACAACAGCAGCAGCAACAGCAACAGCAACAGCAGCAGCAGCAGCTGGTCAATGGCAAGCCAGCGCAGAAGAAGGTCAGCTTTGAGCCCGGCACCAAGGGCGAAACGGAGGGACTACCACTGCCACCGCCAGCATCTCAGACGAAGTTGTCGCTGCAGAACGGTCTGCCGGAGTCGGCGGCCGGGATCACAGCCATCATACCCACCCGCGTCTACAACAATGCCATTGTGAAGGCCTCCGCGAAGGCTGTCGAATGTAATCTGTGCCGCAAGCGGCACGTGATTGCGCCCGCCGTCTACTGCACCAACTGCGAGTACTATCTGCAGATGCTCAACCAGCGCAGATGATGATGATGATGATGCAGTGCATCATGAGGATGAGTGTAAATAGAGCCAAAAGGAAGCAGCAGCAGCTGCGGATGGCGGAGCAACAGTCTCTTTTATGTTAGCGCATAGATGTCCGAACTGTTACAGCCACGCCTACGGCCACGCCTACTGCACGCACGCACACGCACACACACACATGTTCCCAGCACACACACATATATGCTTATCTGTCCATATATCTAACACACGTCGCTCGCAACGAACATTAACAACAAGAACAACAACAACACATGACTAACTCCATCCAGCCAGGCTTCCGCAAACCTCTTATATATTATTTTTATGCATATTTGCTGATTTTTTTATTATAACATTTAAGTTAAGATCGTCTTTTTTTTTGCTAGCCCTACGCAAGTTTGAAACTCAGCCGCTGAGCTTCCGCCGCCGGAAAGTTGTCGAACGACTACCGGAAGAGTTTTTTTTTTTTTTTTATATACAATATGCCTTTCATATATCGTAAGCATTTATTTTATTTTAGTTTTTTTTTTTTTTACTTAATAGGCATTTAGACATAATTTTTTTTTGAAATGCATTTTATTCGATTGATTATTTAATAGTGTTAAATGTTTATTTTTACATACTTTATAACGATTTTTTAAGATTTTTCTTTACAGAAAACCCAATTGCACAAATGATGCGCGAAAAGATAAGAACCGAATGGTAAAAATGATTTGAATAAAGTAAAATAAATAAATAAATTGGTCTTACTAGGTCTTACTACTAGGCTAGGCATTGCCCGGCCTTGCCCGGCCTTGCCCGTGGCGCGTTTTGTGCTTCAAACTTTAGATATTAACTTTCCCATAGGAAGACGCCCACCTGGAGCTACATTTCTAATGGAATGTGTTTGAATCAGAGCAGAAGAGAAAACAAAACCAAAAAGTTAAGATTATTTTTGTCGGCGAATTTCCGCAGTTGCGCTTGGAATTTCCGAAATCGCTGAAACACGTATTCATTAAGTTTTTATGCAGTGCAGCAAATCGGACAAAGCTTAAAGCTTCACCAACAAAATCTTTTGTAGCTGTTGTTTGGTGAAAAGCGTGAAACTCATCTCAAATGATTTTTCATATAGATCCTTGAAAAAGCCACCAAATCTTTGACCTTCATTTCCACCAAAGAGGAATTGATTTGTCAAAAAGTGTAAAACACCCCCCAAATGAATTTAAGCAAATAACTTTGAAAATCAGCTTGGGGCCAATCGGTTGGTAAGCAAAAAACTTTCATACAAACGATTTTCGCGATTTTTCCACAGTTTCGGGTGGAATTTCACGAAATCCCGAGATCTTTACGTGAACCTGCAGTGAAAATTTCTGCTATCTAGATCTAACGGTAAGGGCTGTGCGTTAATCACCCATCAGTCAGTCAATCAATCAGTCTGTTAGTCAATCAATCAGTCAGTCAGCCAATCAATCAGTCAGTCAGACAATCAATTAATCAGTCAGGACAATAATTTGTATATATAGAGATTTTTCCAAATCCTAAGCCAATGTGGAAGATACTCTACAAAACCAACAGGAATAATTCTTAGTCTAAACTGTAAATCATTTTTCGGCATAGCCTAAGATGACTTATTTAAGAAATAACATACCTTGGCTGACAATCAATATACTGATTATTGTGCCGCATACTTTTAGGATGAATCTTAAACTAAATATCGTAAGCCCTCAACAGAAAATAGAATACCAACAACAATTCCGGGATAACGACATCATTTCCCACGACATGATATATATATACATATATATCCGATATACGTAAATTGGACTGTAAATTTATTTGAATTACTTACATTTTGCATTAATCCTAATAAGTCGATTTAAACGATCCCTACGAATTCAAAAATGCATTACATTTCAAAATCAGACGATATTTACCGGAGATATTCGAAAAAAAAAATTTATCAGAAAAGGTTGACTTTACAAACGAATCGTTTGTTGGTCAACCACTTTTTTTACCCATCGATTTTGAATTTCTTTGAATGCCAATTTTTGGTAGGGATCCCTACGAACTCAAAAAGGTATAATATTTCAAAATCAGACGATATTTACCCGAGATATTCGAAAAAAAATATCGAAAAAGTTTTGATTTTTGAACCGACCCCGAATTTGAAAAAAAACGTGATGTAACCCCTTGCTTTTTTGTCGATTTTGGTCAAATTTTAGATTTTCATATTTTTGATGCCAATCGATAATACTGATCCTTACGAGCTCAAAATGGTATAAAATTCCAAAATCTGACATTCTTTGGCCGAGATATGCCAAAAAATCATCAAAAAAGGTTGATTTTGAAAACGAATCGGTTTTTGGTCAATCATTTTTTCTTACCCATCGATTTTGAATTTCTTTGAATGCCAATTTATGGTAGGGATCCCTACGAATTCAAAAAGGTATAATATTTCAAAATCCGACAATATTTACCCGAGATATTCGAAAAAAAATCATCGAAAAAGTTTTGATTTTTGAACCGACTCCGAATTTGAAAAAAAACGTGATGTAACCCCTTGCTTTTTTGTCGATTTTGGTCAAATTTTAGATTTTCATATTTTTGATGCCAATCGATAGTACTGATCCTTACGAGCTCAAAATGGTATAAAATTCCAAAATCTGACATTATTTGGCCGAGATATGCCAAAAAATCATCAAAAAAGGTTGATTTTGAAAACGAATCGGTTTTTGGTCAATCATTTTTTCTTACCCATCGATTTTGAATTTCTTTGAATGCCAATTTATGGTAGGGATCCCTACGAATTCTAAAAGGTATAATATTTCAAAATCCGACAATATTTACCCGAGATATTCGAAAAAAATCATCGAAAAAGTTTTGGAACGTCATATCTTCGCCTGGAGTTATGTCGTTTTGGAACGTCATATCTCCCGCGGAGTTATGTCGTTTTGGAACGTCATATCTCCGCGCGGAGTTATGTCGTTTCAAAACGACCTTTTCGATTTTCATATTTTTGATGCCAATCGATAGTACTGATCCTTACGAGCTCAAAATGGTATAAAATTCCAAAATCTGACATTATTTGGCCGAGATATGCCAAAAAATCATCAAAAAAGGTTGATTTTGAAAACGAATCGGTTTTTGGTCAATCATTTTTTCTTACCCATCGATTTTGAATTTCTTTGAATGCCAATTTATGGTAGGGATCCCTACGAATTCAAAAAGGTATAATATTTCAAAATCCGACAATATTTACCCGAGATATTCGAATAAAATCATCGAAAAAGTTTTGATTTTTGAACCGACCCCGAATTTGAAAAAAAACGTGATGTCGATTTGCTTTTTGTCGATTTTGGCCAAATTTTAGATTTTCATATTTTTGATGTCAATCGATAGTACTGATCCTTACGAGCTCAAAATGGTATAAAATTCCAAAATCTGACATTATTTGGCCGAGATATGCCAAAAAATCATCAAAAAAGGTTGATTTTGAAAACGAATCGGTTTTTGGTCAATCATTTTTTCTTACCCATCGATTTTGAATTTCTTTGAATGCCAATTTTTGGTAGGGATCCCTACGAATTCAAAAAGGTATAATATTTCAAAATCCGACAATATTTACCCGAGATATTCGAAAAAAATCATCGAAAAAGTTTTGATTTTTGAACCGACCCCGAATTTGAAAAAAAAGTGATGTAACCCCTTGCTTTTTTGTCGATTTTGGTCAAATTTTAAATTTTCATATTTTTGATGCCAATCGATAGTACTGATCCTTACGAGCTCAAAATGGTATAAAATTCCAAAATCTGACATTATTTGGCCGAGATATGCCAAAAAATCATCAAAAAAGGTTGATTTTGAAAACGAATCGGTTTTTGGTCAATCATTTTTTCTTACCCATCGATTTTGAATTTCTTTGAATGCCAATTTTTGGTAGGGATCCCTACGAATTCAAAAAGGTATAATATTTCAAAATCCGACAATATTTACCCGAGATATTCGAAAAAAATCATCGAAAAAGTTTTGGAACGTCATATCTCCGCCTGGAGTTATGTCGTTTTGGAACGTCATATCTCCCGCGGAGTTATGTCGTTTTGGAACGTCATATCTCCGCGCGGAGTTATGTCGTTTCAAAACGACCTTTTCGATTTTCATATTTTTGATGCCAATCGATAGTACTGATCCTTACAAGCTCAAAATGGTATAAAATTCCAAAATCTGACATTATTTGGCCGAGATATGCCAAAAAATCATCAAAAAAGGTTGATTTTGAAAACGAATCGGTTTTTGGTCAATCATTTTTTCTTACCCATCGATTTTGAATTTCTTTGAATGCCAATTTTTGGTAGGGATCCCTACGAATTCAAAAAGGTATAATATTTCAAAATCCGACAATATTTACCCGAGATATTCGAAAAAAATCATCGAAAAAGTTTTGATTTTTGAACCGACCCCGAATTTGAAAAAAAACGTGATGTAACCCCTTGCTTTTTTGTCGATTTTGGTCAAATTTTAGATTTTCATATTTTTGATGCCAATCGATGGTACTGATCCTTACGAGCTCAAAATGGTATAAAATTCCAAAATCTGACATTATTTGGCCGAGATATGCCAAAAAATCATCAAAAAAGGTTGATTTTGAAAACGAATCGGTTTTTGGTCAATCATTTTTTCTTACCCATCGATTTTGAATTTCTTTGAATGCCAATTTATGGTAGGGATCCCTACGAATTCTAAAAGGTATAATATTTCAAAATCCGACAATATTTACCCGAGATATTCGAAAAAAATCATCGAAAAAGTTTTGGAACGTCATATCTCCGCCTGGAGTTATGTCGTTTTGGAACGTCATATCTCCCGCGGAGTTATGTCGTTTTGGAACGTCATATCTCCGCGCGGAGTTATGTCGTTTCAAAACGACCTTTTCGATTTTCATATTTTTGATGCCAATCGATAGTACTGATCCTTACGAGCTCAAAATGGTATAAAATTCCAAAATCTGACATTATTTGGCCGAGATATGCCAAAAAATCATCAAAAAAGGTTGATTTTGAAAACGAATCGGTTTTTGGTCAATCATTTTTTCTTACCCATCGATTTTGAATTTCTTTGAATGCCAATTAATGGTAGGGATCCCTACGAATTCAAAAAGGTATAATATTTCAAAATCCGACAATATTTACCCGAGATATTCGAATAAAATCATCGAAAAAGTTTTGATTTTTGAACCGACCCCGAATTTGAAAAAAAACGTGATGTCGATTTGCTTTTTGTCGATTTTGGTCAAATTTTAGATTTTCATATTTTTGATGCCAATCGATAGTACTGATCCTTACGAGCTCAAAATGGTATAAAATTCCAAAATCTGACATTATTTGGCCGAGATATGCCAAAAAATCATCAAAAAAGGTTGATTTTGAAAACGAATCGGTTTTTGGTCAATCATTTTTTCTTACCCATCGATTTTGAATTTCTTTGAATGCCAATTAATGGTAGGGATCCC